TTTACTTATCTTGTGCAGAAAAATGCGCTGACATTGCGTTATATCGAGCACCGGCTGCCCAGTTAAACTGTGACTATCACCAGGTAACTAGGCGTGTTTCTTGAATTAGCAGCAGGTGTTAAACAGCTGACAGATGAGGAGGAGGATGCATGCAGGTAAACTGAGGGTCTGTTGAGCTGATCGCTGGTTTCGTGAGAAAAATGTCAGCTCGTTCTTTATGTTACAGAAGCACAGAGACACAAGACCAGGCGGAAAGAGACGATCGTTCGGTGAAAATGAGAATCTGCGAATGCAACATGTGGAACACAGAGAGTGGAATATGTAAACAAACCGGTTAACGTAACCCCCTCGGTGCACTCTGCATGCTAACTGTTAGCAGAGCTAGTGAAATCTCTGAAAACATCTGAGCACCTTTGCAAACATGTTCTATGTTGACAACCTGACCAGACATACGTCGCGACATTCGCGGCTAAAACACTGTTAAAAGTGTAGCTGGTGACAGAAAAACGGGGTATTTTAAAACTACACCACCACCATTGCTGCTTGTGATTTGATCTGCATTCTGGGATAACTGGCTGCCCCAAGTCTACACAAGCAATCGATTTTCTAGGATCGACCTGTTTTGACTTACTTTGCACGGCAACCAATCAAATGTTAGAGAAGCTGCATGGGCAGCGTTAACCCCGCCCCCTGAGTTTGATGGGTGAGGCTGACAGATAAAATTATTTCATGACGAGAGCCAGGCGTCAGGACTGCCAAAATGAAATAAATAAATATATCATTAAATAATTAATTAAATGTGTCAATAATTAATGAAATGTGTCAATAATTAATTAAAATGTGAAATACATAAATAATTAATTAAATGTGTCAATAATTAATTAATTACATGTGTCATAACTATTTATTTAATTAATTAATTCCAATTTTAATTAATTATTGCCACATTTAATTAATTATTTAATGGTGTATTTAATTAATTCATTATGGCAGTCCTGGCGTTCCATATATATAGCCCCTTCCCTTGTAAATATTTCCCATCATTGTATATAAATCTGCATCACTACTATCTTGTGCCCGTGTGTGTTTCTGCCACTAAATCCATCCGTATAAGTTCTCCTAACACTATCAGCCACTGAGACAACAGGCAAATTTCAGTGTTTTAACATATGAATATTAAATACTTAAGGGCTACTTGTTTAAATAATGGAGGTGAACGATACATCATAATTTTACATGATAATATCACAGATGATAGACTCAATGAATAGATTTTAGATGCTTGTGCAGTCTTAAAGTCTGATATGTTGAACTGAACTGAGTGTGTTAGCTGTTCAAAGCCTCTCCCAGTAGTGCTGCTCTCCATGCCTGTCTTACTGCACATAGTGTTATTAGCACAAACACTTTAAAGGTGAACATTTAGGACTTACTCCAAATGTTACTATGTCAAAGTTACTGTGACTCAAACAGAGGAAATTTAGATTTTTTTTATTTCCACATCAATCCACATCCACATCAATCAAAACATGGATATTACCTGACCACAGATTCGTGGTGATGTCACTGCTCTTTTAACTGTTTGGTGTCTTTGCTTTGTTTGCTGGTTGTAGAAATGGTTTATTTGAGCTTTGAGCTGAGAGTCAGAGGTTTCTGTGGACACTGCTCATGTCGGCACTTATATTTCTGACCTTTTCTTATAACCCATTAAACATGATCTCCTCCCCTTTGCCCCCATTTTTGGTGGTGTAGGTACAAATGATCAGGCATGACATTCTCATAATAAATAAGATACTGCAAATAATTATTTCTGCATTTGTGCGATTGAAGTGAATTGAAAATGTGTATGAAATGATACTGTTTTAAAGATTTGGCCTAAATAATTTTGGAGTGAATGAGTCTAAACATGATGACCTAACTAGTGATACTCTGACACACACACACACACACACACACACACACACACACACACACACACACACACACACACACACAAGCATGTTATGCCAGTTTCAGCTGAAACTAAGCTTCAAACTATATTCCGGGTTTTTAGTTCACCATTTATGAGGTTCCAAGAAGAAAATAAAAGACAGATCTGAATGTTTGAAAATGTTTTGGAAAGATTCTGTAAAGATGAGATGAAAAATACTCAAAGGATAAATTTAATTGGTTTATTATTTAGATAAGTTGAAAGAAAAGTTAAACAAGCAAGTAAATGAAGAAACAAGGCAGATGAGAGAAAACCCCAACAATCCCCTCTGAGCAAGCGCTTGGCGACAGTGGGGAGGAAAAACTGCCTTTAAACGGGCAGAAACCTCCGGCAGAACCAGGCTCAGGAGGGGACAGTCAACGGCCGGGACTGGTTGGGGGGGTTAACAGAGGTGGAGCAAGACGAGGCTACATCAGGTGAGGAAGCAGTACACTCAAAAAAGTCAACTAAGGCAGTTGTTTGATTAATTCAATAGACATTTGTCTATTTAACATGAACATATTGAGTTTAGGTTTTTAAATCATTATCAGTTGTTGGTTTAACATAAAATAACAAAAAGTTTAATGAACTAGATTTGCATTCTTCAGTTCAATAAATGTAATTATTTTAAATCAACAACTCTAAAACCGATGCCTAGTGCGCATGCTCAAACTTCCCAGACGTGAAGAGGCGGGAACGCGGACAAAGTTATATCTGTTCAGTGAACTGCCGTTTCTCTCTGCGGAATCTTCCACAATACAGGTAAGTGATAAATAACTGAAAATATCTTAGTCAAACGAAGTTGTTCCGTCCGTTAATTGTTTAACAATGTTTTTAATTCCAAATGTGTAAGTTGTCATTAGACAGCGGGAGTGGAGCAAATACTGTGAAAATCGGGTATTAGACGGTGCCAATCGGTACTGTCTAATACCTGATTTCTAATCCGCTCCGGCTATATTTATATTATTATTAGCATTTCCACTTAATTGCTTTTTTTTTGTTACCCGTTTTTGCAGTTTTATAGTGTTTTAGCGGTTATTGATATGTTTAGTTCAATATTTAACACGTTTGTAATTCACTTTCAAAGTAAACGAAGTTAGCTAAAGCTAGGTAAAAGTTCAACGGTTGTCTCATTGAACTTTTACCTAGCTCTGTTAGCATTCACTTTGGTTTTAAATGACGGTTTAGAAGACATGGTCTTTCTTCACTTTTTTTATTATTTGCATTTCTTCTTTCTTTCTCTCTCCTTTTTTTAAGCATTTGGCCTCTCGCGGTAATGCAAGTTAAACTAGCGCGGGAGTTGCTAAATATTAGCTGTGTCCAAATTCAGGGGCTGCATCCTTCGAATTGACTTGAATACTAGTGCATGGGAAAAAGAGCATGAACACGAGGTCAAAGGAAAAGGCAATGGCGGATAGTTATGAAAATTGCCTGTCGAACCTTTACCGCAACTACCAGCATCTTTATTGCATAGTGTGAAACACTGCTATTACATTTGGCAACAGATTGGATATTTGTCTGTGAATTTTATATTGCAAGAGGTATTTATATGTATTTGTATTTTTTTTATACATTCCAACAAAGTTAAAAAAAAATCCACTGTGGAATTTTTATAAAATAATTGTATGTTTCTTTACCATAGTAACACCACAAAGAAAGCTGCCCCCTTTTTCTGATTGTTTGTGCCTCCTCTTTAATACATGGTAAGTTTTACCATCATACATTTTTTATGATACTTTTATGATTTAATCAAAGTAAATGTAAATGGTAAATGGCCTGTACACAATGACCGAGACTGTCCGAGCCGGGGCTCGAACCGGCAACCTTCCGGTTACAAGGCGAACTCCCAACTCTTGAGCCACAATCGCCCCACAGCCACAATCGCCCCAGTGAAAAAAACCTAGCTCAGCTCATCAATGGTTTCTGCGTTTTGTTCTTCAAGTTTCTCACATCTTTGTTCCACCTCTTCCAATGTTGCTTGTTGTTCTTCAAGCTTGTCTTTGAGTTGTTTGGATGTTGCCTCCTGTATCAGCTTGTCCTTGTGCATGTCTGCATTTCTCTGTTGGACCTCTTTGTGCTTGTCTTCTAACTGCTCGTTTCTTTTCTTGACTTCTTGGAGCGTGAGCTGCAGGTCTTCATGTATTTTGTCTTCTTGTTGTTTTTGCGCCTGCATTTGAGTGTGTTCACGCTTCAAGTTATTGAATTCCACCAAAATCCCCTTAACGAGCTCGGAGTTGTTTCTCGCTATCTGATCGATCCTTTTCTGCATCTGCGAGCACCGTTTCTCCAGTTTGTCCTTTTCTTCTTCCACTTTAGTTGCTTTGTCCTCCAGCTGATTACAAAACTCTTGCAGTTTTAGATTTTTAGACTCAAAGTCCTGGATGATGCGTTTTCCTTCTTTCAGTCTTTCCTGCTGTTGCTCTTTCTGTTGAAGAAGGTCTTTATTTTGGCGCAGTGTTTCATCCAGGCTTTCTTTCAGCATGCGGTATTTTTCCTGCATGCTCTTCAGTTCGTGCTGCATGTCTCGTTGCTTTTTGTCCTGCTCTTCCTTCTGTTGGAGGAATTTATTCTTTTCTTCCACAGCTTCATGGAGCTGTCTTTGGAGGAGCCGATTTTTTCGGTCCATGTATTGGAGATCCCATTGTATCTTATCAGTCATCGTTTTCTTGTCTTGGAGCTGGTTGGTCATTTCTTTTAGTTCTGCACTCTTTTGCCTGTTTTCTTTAATGAGGTGCACAATCTGCTCTCAGGTCTGAGCAAACTTGATTCCCCAGCCCTCATTAATAATTTTTATGTCCGGCTGGCGCTGTTGTCTTTCTTCCAGCTCTTTATTTTGGGCTTCCATTCGTCTACACTTGTCCTCCAGTTGAAGTTTCTCTTCTTCAATTTGTTGCATTTTTTTCTGGAGAAGGTAGTTTTCCTTCCTACTCTCCTCTAATGCCCTTTGGAAGGATGAGACGCCATTTGGGGAAATTGGCCGGCCACGCCAGGAAGGCGTAATCTTTTTGAATTGGTTGTTTTTTTTCTTGGAAACATGTTGGAGTTTCTATACGATGACTTTGAAGAGCTTTCCAAATGTTTCTGTGGTGAACGTTTTGTAGGCTGCAAACACAGATGCTGCTGAAACGAACTAAACCTTGCTGTTTCTCACCCCTACTTAAGGAAAAACATCAAAGGACTTAAGATTCTTAAGATCTATGACATCATCACTCCCTAAGCCAATGAGATTGTCACAAGACATTTTGGATTGTTTTTTTTTTTAAACTGTTTTCAAACTTAACTTAACTTAAAATTTCAGTGTTTTATTTGTATATTGCAAAATCACAATAATCTTCCAATTTAGAACTACAAGTAAAAAAAAAGAACTAACACAAATAAAATACACTTCAGCTAAATACTAATTTATTTTCCCAAACCACGCAGAGCCGCACTATGAGGACTAAAGAGCCGCATGCGGTTGCCGACCCCTGATCTAAAGGGTTTAACAAAAAGGGGGAGCTTCCTGCTGGAAAATGAAATGTCCCCACTGGGCAATCGTGGCTCAAGAGTTAGGGGTTCGCCTTGTAATCGCAAAGTTGCTGGTTCGAGCCCCGGCTTGGTCAGTCTTGGTCGTTGTGTCCTTGGGTAAGACACTTTACCCGTTCCCTACTGGTGGTGTTCAGAGGGCCTGGTGGCGCCAGTGTCCGGCAGCCTCGCCTCTGTTAGTGAAAGTGAAACATGCTTTCTTCTTTTTTGGTAATGTGCTGGAAAAGCTTGAAAATTGACCTTGAATGTGCTTAAAAAGTGCTTAAATTTTACCCTAAAAAATGTGTATGAACCCTGCATATATTGCAGTATTTACAGTTTATAGTAGGAATTTCATGGCAACAGCTAATCTTTATTTTGTTTACTGGGAAATGAAATGCTGCCAATTCACAAAGCTGTGTTTCAGCCGCACTTCCTGTTGTAGACTTGTGATGGACACAGGCTCTGTTCCAGCACTCAGCATGTTCTTCCTTATTTTCTCCACCAGGGGGCGCTCCTAAACTATGACATCCTGATAGGAGTGAACCAGGGAGAGGGGCTGAAGTTTGTGGACGACAGTGAGGACAACGACGGCATCTCAGCTGCGGCGTTCGACTACACCATCTCCAACTTTGTTGACAACCTCTACGGCTACCCAGAGGGTGAGGACGCCACCTCTGTACACCGCCACTTTTTCAGTTATTCCATTTTACAGCCTCCTCTCACTTAACTGCATTTTGCAGCATCATCAGGTTTTGTCTTATTAGGAGCCGTGTTTGTTGATTTGTTAGTTTTTTTCTGTTTGCTGTATTCATTGAAATAAACGGATAATCGTCAAAATTACAAATGTGGGCAATTATCAACTCATCTCACCAACATTTGCTTTGGTTTCATATCTCTCGATCAGACCGATCTCTTAAAAAATGTCTCGCACTGCTGTTACTTTACTCTTAGCAGTTTTTCACTTTTATCTTTCTTCCTCTCCTGTGCTTCTTCATTAGGCAAAGACATCCTGTTCCCGTGCAACTTCTCCAAGAACGATGTGATGCTGAGCGCTGTGATCATGACTTACTGGACTAACTTCGCAAAGACTGGGTAGGCCTCATGTCATAGTAGTGTAAACTGTACCTGTTACGGTTTGTTCTCTTACAGAACTACAGGCTTATCAAGCAAAATTGTTGATTTAGCTGTAGACTTTAATGTGTTTCCAAAGTGTTTCCATTTTCTTACAGTTCAGGTAAACTTGTCTAAGTCTGTTAACATGTCACAGGACTTAAATGGCTCAAGGCTCAATCTCTGTAACACTGTAACCAGATCAAATTAGTGATGATTTGAATTAAACATAAGCTCAGGTTTTACAGTTTTTTGAAGAAGTTGAAAGAAATTAAATATCATCAATCTATAACTTGAGCTAAAGAGAGAGTGAGAACAATCAAATTACAGGAGAAAGAAAGAAACGTTAATTAAATGTAGCAGCGACGTGTAAACACAGTTGGATGAAGGCCTTCTCAATGCATCATGGGACGTTTTCCACTGCAAACTGAGCCTATATCAGCAGGACTGAGGGTTGATTTAGGGTCGTGTGCTCCAGCTTTAACTATAGGCTCTGTCAAAAATGATCAACACACGCTCCCCCGCAGGCCGTGACCCTGGCAACATGAGGCCCCGAAACAATGTTGCTCTAACTACTCGTCATCTTACCCTACTTTCCCATCAGATCCTAAGCCCGAGGGCTCAGAGCGCCCGCCCCAGGACTTCTTTCCCGGAGACACCTGCCACTACTCCACCGAATTGAGCGTGACAGTTGCGGTTGGAGCATCTCTCCTCTTACTTAACATCCTGGCCTATCAAAATGAGGTTCTTTGATATTCAACCTCGTAAGCCCCCTGTAGAGTGCTCATTTGTCTGCCTCTTCCAAAAGAATTCATGATAAGTTAAACATTTAACAGATTTATTTGGAATAACAAAGAACCTAGTCTAAGACTTTGCTTGTTGTACCTACCATATGGAAGAAGGGAGGTTACAACTCCCTAATCTTAAACTGTATTACTGGTCTGCACAGCTGTGCTCAGCCATGTTCTATTTTTCCACTGATACATCCTTGGCCTGGATAAAAATATAACAAACATCAGTAACAAATTGTCAATTAAATCTGTTTATACTTTGCAAGCCCAAGAAATATTTTTAAAAATGACAAAAAAAAATGACAAATAATTTATAAACACAACTGATGCTTGGTATAGGGCCCATCGTTGGAGATAACGCTATCTCTCATTTTTTTACCTATTTGGCGCAACTCATGTTTTAAGGCAGCCGATGGGAGTTTCAAAATCTGGGCATATAAAGGCATGCATGGAGATCTGACATCCAAGAGGAGATACAGGAGGCAGACTTAGAAACTGCATGTTTAAAAGCCCAAATGCCATCATTTAAAACAAGGATGAAACTTTTCCAATATAAGTCGTTTGTGAGAACTTGCATAACTTCAGTAAAACTGAATAAACACATTGGAAATAATTTAATTGTTACATCAGTTCAGTTCATTTTTATTTCAAACATTTCAAACATGTGCCTTCACAATTATTACAAAATATCATTCCATTATTTGTTTGAAAAGGAGTAGGCTGAAGTATTTACTTATTTGTCCCTACCCCCTCAAGTTTTACCTCTCATTCATTTAATTTTTTTTTTGTCTTAAATTAAAAAAACAACATATGAAACATATGAAGTAAAACAAAACATAACATACATAAATCACAATTGTTACATGATTATAAAATGTCAGAAATGTGCACTGTCATAAACAAATTATTCCACAAACTCTTTAACCTAATTTTTCATGATTTATTGGTTTAATAATGCAATCAACCACACGATCACAGGCGTCAGTTGTTACCGGTCCTAAGCTATGGGCTGAACCATTTTTAATAGAGGAGGGGGGAAACACATGCAATATATTCAGTTTAAGAATTTTATTCATTGTTAATTGTAGCTAGGTGTAACACGCCCGCAATGACAGTGTCATGATTCGGCCGTGTGGCAGGCAGGATGAGGACCCAAATTGCAAACTCACAGACACGGGGGATAAACTCAAAATGCAGCTTTATTGCTGACAGGTGATAAACAATAACGATGATACAAAAGCAATGCAAAACTACACTCAACTGGGAAAAGCTAAAGTAACATATACCGGAAGACACGGGGAGAACCACACACGGCATGAGGGAGAACGCGACGCCGAACAGAGGGAGACTCAGACAGAAATACACAGAGGGTAAACGAGGAAAGTGGGCACACACGGGGAACACAGGTGACACTGATAATCATAACGAGACAGGGCGGGGTGAACTGAACATGACATGTACAGGCACAGAGGTTCAGACAGGAGGAGAGAGAGCACGGGGAAAACACAGACATAACGGGCTGGGGAAACATGAAACAACCACAAAGGGAGACGAGGGCTCATAGATACACAGAGGGGCACACAGGGGGTAAAAGCCATGAAGGGAAAACACTTAGGGAACAACACAACAGGGCAACTCAGAAAACATGGCCTAAATAAGGAACGAAATACAAAAATACAAGGAACTAAGAATACTGGGCCCACATGGCCCAGGACCATGACAGACAGAGCTAACAGATTATATCTGGGTCTGAGAAAACAGGTAAATGATGAGATGGACAACAAGAAGTGTGTTTTCCTCCCTCCATGAGCACAGAGGCTGGAGCAAAATGATAGACCGACATCCCTAACATAAATATCAACACTTCACCGAGTTCTTTCGATTCCTTAGTGGCATCCGATGGAAGAAAAAACACTGCTCAATGGACCATTTAACACTTTATTTCTCTTTCATATTACTTCTAGTAGGGAGATGTGTACTGCATGACACGTCCCTGCAGATCTCAAAATGGTGGTGCGACCCTAACAGTTTTATTACAGAAGCTCTCTCATTCTAGTCTAAACAACAGTGTCTCAGTAACTTTCAGTATTTTGGCCCATTCCTCCATGCAGATCTCCTCTAGAGCAGTGATGTTTTGGGGCTGTCGCTGGGCTACACGAACTTTCAACTCTCTCCAAAGATTTTCTATGTGGTTATAACAAATTTAACTTGATTTGTTGACTTTACCAGATATACTGATCCTTTACGTCCTTTCAAAAGTGTAAATATGTGTGCACAGATATGCCATTAAGAAAGGCAAATACTAAAGTCAGAGCAAGAAAACTACATATTGAAATTAATTTTAAGAAAAAAACAACATTTTCAGTTCCCATAACAAAATGTGAGTATGTGACAAGAAACAAAGTGAAAAAAAAGTCTCATTTTTTATAGTGAATATATATTCTCAGAATTGGGCCTGAGAATATATAAACAACATGTACAAAAAAAGATCATTATTTTACATTAAATGTGTTAACTCAATGTGCAAACTCAGGTAACGTGACTAATATCATCAATAGTTGTCTTATTTTGGAGTACAGTATCTTAATTTTGCTAATAAAATACTTAGAAGTGTTCTTTAATACCGCTAAAATAATATTGGTGATGTGTTCTGATGTACATAAAAAGGAAAGAAATGAAAGTTGTTACTTGATGTTAAATGATTCTTTGAGACTTTTTTCTGCCTGATTTTTTGTGATTTGTTTCCAGGCTAATGGAATATCAGCAGGTACTGCATTAAATTCTTTGGCAAAATCCTTGTTGTACTTTACCATAATAAATTTCCAGTAGTCAGATGCTTCAAGGCTCACATCTGGAGGGATATTCCAGTGTGGGTAAAAGACCTTGTAATTCTTGTAAGGGTGCAGTTCATAGTTTGTAGCACTGCAGCGAAAACGTTTGTCACTGACAACGAGAGAGGAGCATATGTCAGTGACAAGATCTTTTGTTGTGCAACACCTGTATGTACCCAGACCCTGAGGCCGATGCAGTAGAGCAAAGTGCACAGTATGACCTCTTCCTCCTGCATCACAGGGAGCTTTGCAGAGTGGACACAGTTTGCCACAACCAACCAGTTTGTTGAAAAGCTCATTCTGGGGCTGCACATGGAGATGCTGTAGTTTTATTTCAATGTTTACATTTTCAAACTCTTTTCTCAGATCTTGTTCCATCTCATTCACAGACACTGTGAGCCAGTCAGCAAACTGTTCCTTGTCAGCATTGTTCAGCATCATGAAAGCATCAAAAGCATCCTGGGAAATGACTAGTTTATCACCAAGTTCTTTACAAAGATATTCAACAAATGTCTTCACATTATCAGTCTTTCCTCTTTGAGCCTTGTTGATGGCATCATTTATGCTTCTGATACATGATTGAAGATGTCGATCCTCAAACTCAGATAATGTCACAGTTGAGAAATGCTCCACTATTTTGTTGAGTATCCATGTCTTGGCATATTTCTCATATGAGTCGATATATCTCACATAGTGTTTAAAATCATCTTTTGAAAGTAAATCCAGTAAAAGTGAATACTGGAAGGACATTCGATTGCTGAACTGCTCACATGTCAGCATTTCACCAGTGATATCAGGTCCCAGACATCGACTAATAAAATCTTCAACAGCAGGCTTCAAACATCGGTTGGTGAATTCTTCTGCCTTCTTCTGACACTGGTCTCTTTCATGGAAAACATCTTTGAAATCATCACGAAACTTTTCCTT